TTGTATATTCTTCAATCCAGAAAAGTACATAGCAAAAAAATGAAAAAAAAAATGTATTCAGCAAACTAACAAACTGTAGTTAATATTTGATATAAGATGACCATCAATTCGAAGTCAGTTTAAGTCCTCGAAGAGAGTTAGAATCACTTTCCACGCTTCATTCGTCTTCAAAATAACATCGGTCACCTTAGCAGCAGCCTCAACAGAAATCGTGTACATGTACTCGTCATCTCTCATAATTGGCATATCAATTATGTTACTTGCATCATGCCATGGATTATACACAACTACCAAAAAAAAAAAATTATAACGGAAGTTTTATTAAATAATACGTTGCATTGAAATACAAAATCACTATCAAGTTTGTATATATATAAACACTTACCAACATCAGGTAGATCTACACTTTTACTAATCGTAAAAGTTCTTCCAGCCTGATTGTCCCTAACAGAGATCTGCTCAGGAATATCTAGATACATCCTGTCCAGCTAAAATGAAAATCGAAGTCAAGTCAACAAGTGTATAAATTCATAATCATTGGTAAAATCAGAAGAATTAATCTATTTTTATATAAACACACTTTATCATCGATAACGATAGGCTCATCCCCTTCAATAAATCGATTGCCGTCCTGCAAAAAGTCTAGATATTCCACAGCCTCCAATCCTTCAATCTCAGTATCACTGGAAATGGGATTATTAATTTATTTCATTTTATAATAATAAAAGAAAAAAACAGTACATCGATTACATAATATTTGAGATAGAAAAGCAGGTGTGAAAGGCAAATTTGAATGAGAAACATTTCCCACTGCGATTTATTACACGAGATGTTATATCCAAATTTCCGGTGGGTCCCAAAGTAACACGTACCTGGAGCTCTAATATGCAATTTTTAAAACATGAAATGCAATTTAGTTGATATACTTTGAAATTAATTAAAGAGTAATCGTCAAGTACCCATAAGGCCAGTTTTGGATGTCTTCTTGATTAGAATCGATAACGAGATCAACAAACGCCGCTTCATCGAGTTCGAGTCCTGTATGGCGGAGATTTGGTTCATTGGTCAGATCCTCGATTCTCCAAGTTAAGGTTCGAGCAATGCCATGCTCCTCCAAATATCCATTCTTGTAATACTGATCATGTCAGTTAATCGTTAAAACGATCTTAATTGCATATATATATTTATATATATATATATATATATGAAAACAAATAAACGCAATAATTACGTAAATCGAGATGCCTCCACGAATCCCATTTGTGTAATTCGTCTGGAAATTAAAATATGTTATTTTTTTATTAATGGAAGAACTAAAGAAGATATATACATACTGATAATCAAAAATCCACACAACATTAGTTAATAATTGTAATTAGGCAGTAATTAAGATATAGAAAGTACCATCTCGCTAAGAAACAACAACTCTTCACCATTGTTGTTCGTCCAAGATATTACTTGACCTCCGTAAAGAAGAATCTACATATATATGTATATATATATATATATAAAACAAATTAAAACCGGCAGAAATCCAATTGCGTTCCGTTCGAACCAGAATTGAGAAAACTTGAAATCTGACTAACCTCGGCGGTGAAGCCCGCATGATGACGGAAGGGAGGTGGTGCTCGTTAATGTTTCGGAAGTTATTTTCGCGAAAAGGCCACTGCAATTCTTCTGGCGGCGGCGAAGGAGGCGGCGTAGGCGACGAAGCCGTAGATGACTCTGATATAATGTGTGCCAATTGAGTGCGTGTGTGTGGATGAAGAAGCACTGTGTGTGTGTGGGGACGAAGAAGAAGAGTATGTAGCCGCCGCAGATCAGAAAATTGAAATTGAAAGTGGTGTATTCCGCATTCTACCCAGTTGTGTGTGAATTTATAAGAACAGATTTTAGTTTCCCGCTCTGTAACTGAAATCGATAGATACAGGGGTATATACATGGTTGAACCGGATCTAAATGGAGAGAAACCGGGGTGTGCTTGAGAAGGTGGAGAGGGAAATTGAAATTGTGAAAGGGGCTGGGAGAAAAAGAAAGAGGTGGATTTGAAAAACATTTCACAGGTGAGGGGGAGAGAGAAGGACCGTGAAAAGTGAAGACGTATATTTAAAGGAGAAAAAGACAGAAGTAGGTGATAATTAAATAAGAAAAAAATGTAATTAGTAAATAAAATTATATAAGATAAAGTGGATACTAAGTGAAATAAATAAATAGAGAAAAATAATATTTTTTTTTTTGAGAAAGTTGAGTGAAATATAAAAATAAATAGAGAAAACACTACTTTTTAAGTAATAAAATTATTAAAAAGTAAATAAAATAAAAAATGAAAAAATCGGGGTTGACCCTATAAATGCATTGCTCTACAAATAAAAAATGCATTTGCTCTATAAATGCATGAATTTGTTTAAAAAACATAAATTAATTAATACATGTAAAAACCAACATTTATGAACAAGGAAAAAAATGAATTTATGATGTTGATGATTTTATTTGCTTAGGAAATATATGAACAAATTGAAGCATCCATAATACAATCTATACTAAAATATAGATGTTATAATTAGATGTACGACAGATTTATTTGTCTAAGCTCTCAGTTGTTTATATGGAAATGCATTTTTTAAATTCTGCAAAAATAAAGAAATTACAAAATTTCGGTTTAAAAAATTATATGTTTGCATTATTATTTTAACGTATTTTCTTTCCATCTATACACTTTAGTTTTTCGCACAAATACATACTTGAACGATATTTATCTAGAAATTCATATTTGGAATTCTGCAAAAATATTAAATTATTGATTTTACAAATATTTGTCTTCAAATAAATATGTTTCTACTTTCCACCTTATTTCCAAGTGTATTTTCTTTTATTTTGTAGTGATATTGAAATATTTTACATAAAAAATAATATTATTTCGTGTCAAACGATGTAAATAATATTATTTCGTGTCAAACGATGTAAATAATATTATTTCGTGTCAAACGATGTAAAAAATAATAATATTTCGTGTCAAACGATGTAAAAAATTATTGCTCAAAATAAAATAAAAGACGAACTTGTGTACGTTCATGTAACCATTGTTAGAATAGTGTACTCATTCGAACTAAAATCTGTCAAAATTTCAGTTAAACCTTTTGCTGATATTAAAGTAGGGAGATCATTAAAAAAAAGGCAGATACAGACACGGTACACATATTATATACAAACTTGCAAAATATTATACGGGTACTATACTACATACAAATTTGGAAAATATTATACACATTATATACAGACTTGCAAATTGGAAGAGTAACTACCAATCTTCTGATGGATGAGGATGTTAATCCATTCTTCATTCAATCAGATAATTTGTGTATTAATCGACAGATTAAACATCTTCTCGTCACAGTGTTTCTCTGAAAAATAACCACAAACCTATAAAATAAATGAACTCCATAACATTAAACATTAAGTGTTGTAAAATAAATTCAATTGAAATAGTGAGTACCTCCTATCAATTATGCAAGTTAAGGTTCTTCTTATCGTGTTTCTCTCTTTGTCATTCATCTTCGTCCGAGAATAACTATAAATGATCAAGTTCTGCAAAAGTGTAGTTTAAAGAGAATTCATCAGTATCGATTTTTAATTTCGGGAAACATAAGTGCAAATACTTTAATGATTGTAATGGTGTCCAATCGATAATAAGTATAGAACGGAAATGAAAAAACATAGAACCTCAGCCTCAGGTAACTTATCATCATAATAAAGAGAAGGAAAAAATATATATTTTTTTTTCCTAATTCGGAAAATTGAGTTTCTTGGTCAGTCTGAGAGTTTGTAGTAAATGAGGCACTTGGGAATCATATAATTGGAACTAAAACAATTGAACAATATATGTAAAGAAAACAAACACAGTTCCAAAATATCAATCTTTCTACAATATACGAAATTCACCAAAAGCAACAGAGATATACAGTCATCCGTAGCCTCTGTTTACCTGCATACTGAATTGCTTCAGGAGCTCCCTTTAACTTCTGATGTTTTGCTGGTACAAAATTTGTGCTGCAATATTTTTTGAATATTTAGAACAACGTGAAACAAAAATTTCAGCTAAATGCTAAGAAGGCATGCTATTTTCTACAGTCGTCAATAACCTCTTATTAAACCCTCTAGAAAATTATTTCCGGAGACGTTCTTAATCACTGTTGTTTGATCATACACAAATTTGGCTGTATGTACAGATTTCCTACTAACAATAAACACACCATTGATTAATTTAATGAATCGTAAATCGTAAATAAATTAGAACACTAGAGTGAAAATGTAAGAAAAAAACACACAAAACATAGGCATATTGCAATTATTTGTTCAATACTCACGAATTATGTTGGCCGAAGGAAACGAAGAGAACGCAATAAATGGAATTGGATCAAACGATGTTGCAATTGTACCATGCATAAGAAAGAGGAGAATGTGAGATCAAATCGTCATCATTCTGGAGGTTCTTTTACGTTCTGTGAAGACTTAAGTTTATCGCAGCCGATTGATGCCAAATCTTTGTCGTCCACAGAGAAACTAAAATCCATTAACAAATGCGGTAATGGCAAATAGGCCCATGACAAGGGCACTTAATTAAAAGAGGGACATCCAACTTTTTTGTCTTTCAAATAAATCCAACTCATTCAAACTTATTTACAAATAAGAAAAATCCTTTTATATATACCAAAATTACCCCCAATTCATTGAAACCCAATTTAACTCCAATTTCATGATTTACACCCCAATTTAGCCCAATTTCATCAATTAACCAATTTTAACCCTAATTTCAATTTTGACCCGCCACCACTGGAGACCGCCGGTCGCCGCCGTTGACCGGCGTTGACTTTTTTTTTTTTTTTTTTTTTTTTGAAAATATTTTTTCCTGAAATTTTTTTCCGGCCGGTCAACTGCCGTTGACCGCCGGGTCTCCGGCGTTGACTTTTTTTTTTAATTTTGTTTTTTCTTAAAAAAAATATTTTAATTAATATTACTGTCTTGGCTGCTAAATTACTGTCTCCGACAGTTATTTAACTGTTAATTGACTCTTTTGTTTTTTTTTTCTTCAAAAATATTTTAATTAATATTACTGTATTCGTTGCTAAATTACTGTTTCCAGCAGTTATTTAACTGTCGGAGACAGTAATTTAACTGTTAATTGACTTTTTTATTCTTAAAAAAAATATTTTTAATTAATATTACTGTATTCGTTGCTAAATTACTGTCTCCGGCAGTTATTTAACTGTCGGAGACAGTAATTTAACTGTTAATTGAATTTTTTTTTTCCTTAAAAAAAATTATTTTAATTAATATTACTACCTTGGATGTTAAATTACTGTCTCCAACAGTAATTTAACTGTCTTAGATAATAATATTAATAATATTACTCTTCGGAAAAATAATATTCATAATATTACTGTCCCAAACAGTAATATTACTGTCTGAGACAGTAATTTAGTAGTCAAGATAGTAATATTAATTAAAATATTTTTTTTCTAAGAAAAACAATTAAAAAGAAAAAAAAAGTCAACGCCGGAGATCGGCGGTCAACGATGGTTGACTGGCCGGAAAACAATTTCAGGAAAAAAAAAAGTTTCAAAAAAAAAAAAAAAAAAAAAAAGTCAACGCCGGAATCTGGCCGGAAAAAAAAAACATTTCAGAAAAAAAATTATTTTCTGAAAAAAAAAAGTTTTGGGTGTTAATGTGATATATTTGTTTAAATACAGGGTCAATGTGTAATATTAAGGAAGTTAGAGTATAATGGGTGGAATTGATAAGAATTATATTATTGAGAGTATTTTAGACTAAAGACATGGGGATGGACTTAATTGAGAGACTGTTTTTTTTTGGACCAAAATGCATTTAAATCTCATGTGATGAGCCTTTTTGCCATTTACCCTATAATATAAATTCAAGTTAAATATTTCATACCACAATCCAAAAGTGACTATACACATTAATAAGAAAGAGTCAAATGAAGACCATACAATCGACAACAAACTAATGAAAACAAACCAAAATGTTGTCATAGTTAATTCATACTAAAAATAATGTTAGCAAAAGGCACAAAACAAATTCAACTTGGCAAATGTATGGACGTACATGAATGTAGCCAAAGTGCAAACCCCCAATTATTTATAAATGAAAATAAAATAAGTTGAACCAATTTTGAAATTTCGTATATGTAACAAAATTATTATAACAATTAAACATTTCCACACAAAAAGAAAAAGAAAATTGACAGCATGTTGTATGACCAGAAATGAATATTAGCACATAAAATTATGGGGTTTTTGTGCATAAGTGCACAGCCAAGCATCTTTATTATTCTAGGTTTAGGGGTTATATATCTTTCACCAATAAGTCCATCCCTTTAATATTTATTATAAATAAAGGAAACATTCATGTATATGACAATATTATGCCCAATCCTTTATACCCAATTCTTAATTGTAACCCCAATTTAATCAATTTTGTCCACAAAAATCGAATTTTGACCACAAAAATCCAATTTTGAGTTTTATTTTTCAAAAACGTTTTTTTTTCAAATTTTTTTTTGCTGCCAGATTTCGGCGTTGACTTTTCGTGTTTTTTTTTTCTCCCGGATTTTTTCTTTTTTTGGTTTTTTTTACGTCCGCCGTTAAACGTAGACCGTAATTGTGCTGTCACTGACAGTAAATTAACGTAATTATACTGTCAATGACAGTTAATTAACGTAATTGTAATGCCGTTAACAATACATTTATGTAATTATTCTACTGTTGACATTAAATTAACGTAATATTATTATTATTTTTTATTTTTTGTTTTTTATTTTTATTTTATTTGATTGTTGACAAGTCAACATAATTATATTACTGTCAACGACAGTAAAATAAGTGTAAACACAATAATATTACTGTCAACAACATCAATATTATTATTTTTTTTTGGTTTTTTTTGTTTTGTTTGAGGTATTCACGAAGTAACGTAGTAATATTACTGTCTACTATTGTAATATTACTGTTGTTATAGTAATATTGCTGTCAACCACATCAATATTATTATTTTGTTTGGATTTTTTTGTTTGTTTGAGTTATTCACGGAGTAACGTAATAATATTACTGTCTATTATTGTAATATTACTGTGGTTGACGGTATTATTACTGTTGTTATAGTAATATTACTGTCACTCACAATAATATTAATTCTTTTGACTTTTTATTATGTTTACATTTGTTGAACGGTCAACATAGTAATATTACTCTATTACACAATAATAATGAGTTTTGTTGTGTTATTGTGCTAGAGATTAATATAGCAATATTACTGTGTTAAACTGTAGTATAATTAATTTTACTGTGTTTAACAGTAATATAGTTAATATTACTGTCAATTACAACAATATTGTTGTTTAAACGAACAAAAAAAAATGTTACAGAAAAAAAAAAAAAAAAAAGAAACCGAAAAAGTCAACGCCCGAGATCAGCGTTGATCGCCGGAAACCGGTGGCGATAAAAAAAAAAAAAAAAAGTCAACGCCGGAATCATACGGCAAAAAAAAAATTGAAAAAAAAAGTTTTGGGTCAAAATTGAATAATTTGTGAAATTTGGGGTTAATTTGTGAAATTTGGGGCTATTTTAGTCTTTTACAAAAATCAAGACAATGTGTGGACTTATTTGTAAAGAAGTTTTTTGTCTGGATCTCTTTATGAATAAGTACCCATTGATGGGCTTATTTGTAAAGACCCCTAAAATTATATGCAGGAGAAAATCATTAATCTCTAGTACCGGATATATATCAAGACCAATGAAATGAATAAATATTATTTTAATTGCGTAGCTAAACGACAATATTATAATTGGATAATATATTATGGGTCCATTTGATATACACCCCTAGTATGGAAAATATATAGGGATAAGTCCACCCCTAAAATTCATCTTTTAAGATACCCCTGAGAGACAAAAGTACTATTGTGCCTTTAAGTGTAATTTTCGCCCAACTGCATCAGTATTTTCGCCCCTGCATTCAGTAAAATGCCCAACTGCATTCAGCAAAATGCCCAACTGCATTCAGCAATTTGGGTCTGCATTTACCATTTAATAGATTTTTTTAATAACAAAATATAAATGTTAATTGTATTAATATTTTTTATATATACCCTATTTTGTATTTTTTTATTATTATTTTTAATTTTTTTACTTTTCTTTTTAATTTTTTTAATTTCTTTAATCTTATTTTTTTAATTTTTTTATTTCTTTAATTTTTAATTTTTTTTTTAATTTTTTTAATTTTTAATTTTTTTTTATTTATAATTTTTTATTTTTTTTTACTTTTTCTTGATAAATTTACCGTACTAAATTTGACTACACATGACTATATTATACTACACATAACTATAGTATACCACAGTCATGTATAGTTTATATGTAATCATGTACTGTGTTTTTATCCCAAAATTAATCTTCACCAACAATAAAATTCACAATTTTAATCCTGATATTATAAATAAACTAACCCAAAAAAAAAATGAAAACACAATCACATCCATATAATCTTCAAAGCATGAACAAGCATTACTATACATTAAAAAACAAATAACATACATATAACTAGTGTTCTAAAAATCGGCCGAGGCGGCCGATTAATCGATTTCCAAGGCGGAGGCGGTCCAAAACCTTTATGGTTTTAGTGTAAATGTTTGAAAAATCGGTTTTTTGCCTGTGAGGCGGTTTGAGGCGGTATGAGGCGGTTTGAGGCGGTCCGAGACGGCCTGAGGCGGTCAAACCTTTAAGGCGGGTCAAACTTCGGTTGCAAAAATCGGCAAAAAATCGGTCAAAAATCGGTTTTTTTTCTTTCTTTTTTTATAATTCAAAATAAAAGTTCGGATTTTAATAAAAAAAATGATTTAATACTTTATTTTGTTTATGTTAACTATTATTGTGAAAGAACTAATGATGTATTTACTTTAAAAAAAATTGCCTTTTTATTTATATTTTATAAGGATATTTATGTATTATGATTTTATTATTATTAATTTTTTATTATGTTATTAGGATATATACATGATGGAGATATAACTATGTTTAAATATTTTTTATCTATGTTTTGAGTATTTATAAATAATACCTACAAATATATTATATTAAATTTTAAAAACCGATTTATTTCCGATTTATCACCGATTAATCACCGCCGTACCGATTAATCGTGAGTCGGTCCCTGACCGCCTCCGACCTGATTACCGCTCTTTACAACCTTGCATATAACTATATGTTACTACACGTGACTATAGTTATCTATACAAGTGGCATAAGTCTAGAGTACTGTAGCATGAATGCAACTTCACATGACACTTCTCTGCATCTTATTCTTTGCATCTCATAATGTTATACAAAGCAAAACATGTGACAAAAAAATACAAGTTAAAGAAAACGAAGAATAAAATGGAACAAGCGAATTACATTACATGAAAAAATCTGAAAAAACAATGAAAGAAACTTTTTTGATAAATTTATTTTGGTGAACTATAGTCACAAGTAGTTGTTACTGCATATGACTAAATATGACTATATGTAGTCAACTATAGCCACATGTAGTTATGTTCATTTTTGAATAGAACAATGTGGTTGAAAAAAAAAGAAAAAAGACACAACATTTAGTTGTTTGAAACAGAAGAGCAGAAACACAAATACAAACACAATAGAAGAATCGAGTGAGAGTAAATCACGAGATATATTAACAATTACTTGTTGACCTTGCTACCATTCAAAATTATTCATTCTACACAAAATCTTAAGAGAGAGAGATATGATATAGGAACGAGAGTGGTTGCGATTAATTTACCAGTGACGGTGGCGGCGGTGAGCGGTGCGCGGTGGTGGGCGGCGGAGTGGCGGAGGGCGGCTGTTAGCAACGGAGTGGCAGTGAGAGGCTGAGGGTATAGAGAGATGGAAGAGGTGTGGCGACAGAGATTTGGTGGTGGGAGGCGAGAGATAAGAGAAAATGATGGTGGGAGGAGTGAGGAGCAGAAATACCAGGAGGAGTGGAGATGGGCGACGGAGGAGTAGCGGGACCAGGTGCTCCGGCAGGGGAAGTGGGAGGAGAAGGGGGAGAAACGGTGGGGGAATCGGACGGCGGAGATGATGCGGGTGGCGTAATGGTGGCTGATGGTGCTGTTGTCACCGGCGTGGGCGGCGCCGCCACGGGTGCTGCTGTTGGAGCAGACTTTGGCGTGGCTGATGAAGCCTGAGATAGATCAGATGCATCCACCAACGCGAAGATCAGTACCAGCCTAGCTCCGAAATACTTGGCCGCCATTGCTGAATTTTTCAAGTTTATTCCTTCTTTCTGGAATTTGCAAGAGAGAGAGAGAGAGAGAGAGAGAGAGAGAAACAGTGGAAGCTCTTCAAATTTGAGAGAGAGAAGAGAAAACGGCATGGGAGGAGGGAGCCAGAAGAGACCGAAAGTTGAGAAAAGGTTTTAAATTGTAACTAAGGGCAAAACAGGTATTTTAATTTGTCTAGGGGTCTATCAAATTAAGATTAGAATTTAGGTTTTTGACTAGGGAAGAAAAAATCATAGGACCTATCCCTATATATTTTCAAAACTAGGGGATATCCCACATTTCCACATATATTATTTTCAAAAAACTTGAAAAAGTCAAAATTCCTTAAATAATTGGAAGGGGTTTGCTATTATCAGTGCGGTTTTTACCATTCGCAGTGCAAAATAATTCATTTTTATTTTTATTTTCAAAATCTTATCCAAACCCCCTCTCAAACACTCTCAACCTTTACTTCTTGAAATTTTTCAAATTCAATAATTTTTCGACCAATATCAGTTAGAGCACAAGTATTATCGACATGGATGACAACGGCTTCGATTTTGAGGTGAAAATACACGTTTTTTGTTCATTTCCAACGTTTTTAGATATTTCGTGTTTATAACACACGAAATATATACTTCCATTTCATGTAATACTATACGAAATGTGTATTAAAATTATTTGTTGTTTATTTCGTAGAAAAACATACGAAATTAAAGCTTACATTTCGTAGAAAAACGTACGAAGTGGAAGCTCTTATTTCGTATGTTTTTACACGAAATTGTAGCTTACATTTCGTGTTATTTCATACTAAGTCCCTTATATATTGTCTTTTAATTTCAAATATCTATGCAGGAACTAAGAGAACAATCTCACGATCATAGTCACTTCTTTGAACGTGGTATTGTGTGTGATAGTAGAGAAGCTTTAATTATGTGGGCAAAAGACACAGCAATTAGTCATAATCATCGACTGATTAATCATTGTAAATCAGAAAAATATCATGTTTTAACGTGTGCAAGATATCAATCTGGACGACACGTACTATTGAAGAAACGTTCTTGCCCGTTCAGGTTAATTGGCAAAAAATCAACGGAGGATGGATTATGGCGATTGAGTGTGAGTAATGGTAATCATAACCATTTGCCGTGTACTTGAAAGTTTAACTTATGTTTAAATTTGTATTTGTTTTAATTTTGCATTTTAATGTTTAATTTATGTTTTGGAATATTTAAATTTGTAGCGTTGTGTTTTGCATTTTTATGTTTAACCTATGTTTTTGGAATGATTAAATTTGTAAGGTTGTTTGTAAGGTTGTTTTGGAATGTTTAAATGTGTACTTTAATTGCTTCAGTTGTACTTGTACCTAGTTTCTAAATTCAAATAAAAAAACTAGTGAATTAAAATACAAAACAACAAACTAGTAAATTAAATAGTTCGTAATAATAATAAACAAAACTAGTAAAATAATTAGTTCCTAATAATAATAAAAATAAATTATTAAAGTAAATAGTTCCTAACAATAATAAAAATGCATAGTCCTAATAATAATAAAAATAAACTTTAAAATTAAATAATTCATAAAAATACATAACTGGCAAAAAAAAAAATCGATAAACTACCGCCTCGCTCTCCTCGGCGGCTGCACCTCATGATCGTCATCGTCGTCGTCATCGTCGTCGTCGTTGTCGTTGTCCTGGTTGATAACAATATATCGGGCGGCGGGCTGCATAATATCTCTAAGGTCGGCACGTAGATCGGCAAACTACTGCATCATCCAGTCATGTCCAGTGCTCCTGGTGATCGGGTACAATGAACGTACTATCTGGTAATAAGGCGGCTGATCTGGTGGCCTCACATTCTCTCGATTCAGTGGAGCCGGGCCTACGTCGGGGTTGTTGATCTTCAGATGAGTCCGATCGGTATACCACTCCATGTAGTGCTCGTCGACTTCCCCCCGTTGTCGTGCCGTCTTGTATACGTTGGCACGAATGGAATGAGCCAGGACCATGTCCCACATACCACCCAGAAATGGGTAGTTGACTTTGTATGATGTACCTCCTTTGGGACCGCGTGAACATGGCTCCATTGATGGAATCAAGCCGCGCGGAATATCCTGGACCCACCCGAACTGTCGGATGCAACGATCAGGCATATTCGGCTCTACGACCCACATGTACTGGATCGTGCCATGATACAACGTACGAGGGATACTCTCGTGTATATTCCGACCATACGGTAGCCACTCGACCTAAACAGAAAACAATATAAATACATAAATCAAAACATTCATATTTAACCTACAAACATAAACCGAAAAATTCATATTTAAACAAACTACAATTACATAGAATCGAAAAACTTCATATTTTAAAAAAATATAAACACATACATCGAAAAATTCATATTTAAAAAAAATATAAATACATAAATATAAAAAACTTACATCATCCGCTGTCATATTGTCGAGTAAACCTCGAATATGCTCGAGCGTGCCCGCTTTTGGTGGCGCGTTCCACCTCTTGCATCGAGGCTGAAACTCGCGGTACCGCTCGCTCTCCTCCGACGGCTGGAATCTCGGGAAATACTCGTATATCCAGCAATGCATATTTTATTTAAAGATATTTAGGGAAATAAACAATAGAGAATATATAAATTTAAAAACATTATCAACAAAATAAGTACAAAAATATATTACAATTTACCTGAAGAAGGGTGGTGCAACCCGCCAAGCTCCTCGACTGTGCTCGACTGCATATACCCAACTCCCTGTATAGATTGGCCAAACAGGCCGAACCCCACGAATACGTGCCGACCTGATCAAGCACGGAATCCTCGAGCACGTGCATATACCACGGCTTCACCCGATCACATGTCTTGTCGGGGAATAAAATCGATCCGAAGATAAACACCAGATATATCTGAACTCGTCGTCTCATGGGCGTGTCGGGCATCAACAACTGGCCCTGTATCATCCTCCATGTGGGGCCCCCATGCTTCCATGACTCGTCAATCTCCTCAAAATCGAGGTTTAATACCTCGGACAGAAAATACACGCAGTTTTTCCGCTCGATGACCTTGTCGTACCTAGGCGCGACCACCCGTCCCTCCACATTGGCACCTAGAATCATCTGGACATCGTGGAGAGGGATAGTCATCTCTCCCCACGGCATATGGAAGTTGTTCGTCTCGGGCTGCCATCGCTCCACGAATGCAAACAACAGCGGAGCATCTAGGCGCGGTAAATAACATCGGGCTAGGGGATACAAACCGGTCATCCGCAAAAAAATGCTTGTCTAGGGATACATCTATGTCTTCTAGGGCAGCTGTTATCTTCTCGTAGTTGAAATGGTTCAGGGAGTTGATACGGGACTCCACTCGTCCAACCGGACGTTTCTGGAATCATTTATTTTGAAAACATATTAATTAATCAACTCTAAAAATATTTTAATATAAGATACATAAATTATAATATTAAAATTAAAACAAGTAATTAACTTACTTCTCCCCTCCAAATATATGCCCCTACGTGCGGCTTGAAACTCGGAATCAAAGACGGATCCCGCGGGCCATCGGGAAATGGACCATCTAGCACATCCGGATTGACTCGAGTTTGAGCTCGACCACCATGACATCCACGCGCCCGTCCTCGGCCTCCTCGACATCCACGAGCTACAACCTCAGTCTCGTGAACGGGGTCCACAACATCCTCCTCCTCCTCTATAGCACGAGAAGACCCAACATCGGATCTGCAACCGGTGATCTGGCTTCACCAACTCTCTCAGCCTCTCGCATACGTCGTGTAGACATAGTCATGCGCTCGCGCTTGCGCTCTTGATGCTCAGCCTCTTCACGATCTGCTCGCATAAGGGCAACTCCAACAGCATAATCAAATGAGGCATTAAATGCCTAACTGCCAATTTGATGCCCAAATTTCATTTTTTCGGCCTCCAACAGGGTAATCAAACACATGGGCTATTTTGGTGTCAATGGTCGGTGGGTGCATTTTTGGCTCCCATAAATTCAATAACCAAAAAATTCCAACGGTAATTTTACACCCCAACGGTCATTTTTTCTAAACCAAAAAGTTGATTCAAAAAATCAGATTCAGCCAACGGTAAGAAATCAGAAAATTATATAATCGGATTCACCTCATCATATTTCTACAACCCAACCAAATAATTTTTTCAAATCTTCTATTTGACTCCACACTAAAAGGAGAATAATTCCTTCTTAGGCAAAAAGAGAGAGCGAGAAACAAGTGAAGTAGAAACGAGTGAAACCGAAAAGAACAGAGGTGAAGCAGAGGTATGTTGTCTGCTGGTTTTCTTTTTTTTGTTTGGAACGGCTGTATGTGGAAGAAGATGATGTAGAAATTAGGTTTAGTTTTTAGTTTTATAATATTTAAATTGACTTAAGTGGATTGGGTTGGGTGGGCTGGGCTGGGCTTAGTTAATTTATTTTAGTTGAAAATAACTTGAGTTAATTTTCTCTAAATTAACTTTAGTTAATTTGCTTTGAATTTTAATTTATGTATTTTACTCGTAAATTTTTAATTGTATTTTTTGTAGAGGGACTCTTATTACTGTGGGACTTTTACAAATCTTCTTAGTGACGATTCTTCGTTGTATGATGAAGGCTATAATTTGAATCCAACCGTAGAAACCGAAAATATTGTGGCTTGATACTTCAATTAAGCAAGCAAATGCTGAAGATATTCCTATGTCTTCAGAAGATAACAATGAATCTTGTGTCAACAAAGATCGGCCTTTGGGTAATAAATCATCAAAAGAACAGCTCAAGAGAAAACAAGGAAGAACAGAAGGCGGAACCTCATCTATGCCGATGTCATTTATAAATGAGCGTTGGGAAACAAAGATAGCGATGGAACGCGAAAGATGTGATCAACGCGATCATAGCATTAGATCAAAAGGCAACAAATGACGACGAAGAGCGTAAACGTATAGACGGAGACCGAGTAGAGATTGATATTATGAATAAAGACACTACTGGAATGGATGAGACTGAGGCAACTTATTGGAAAATGAAAAAAAAATGAAATATTGAGAAGGAATGGTTTAGTATAATTATTTTAGGTATTTAACATTGCTAAATAGGATTTTTAATATGTCTCTAGATTTTTAATATGTATTGTATTTTTGCGGCTTTATGTATAATAAAAAGAAATTTTGAATGCATTATGTTCTTTTAATTATTCAAAACTGCAAAACATATGAATAAAATGGACAAGAATTAGATAAACTTTGCATCAATACACGAAATTGCATAGAGACTTAGCAGATGATAAAATGAACTAACATCTTAATAAAATGATACAAACCAAATAACATGGTACCAAACATTTTAGGTTTATAATGAAATACAACAAAACTAACATACATAATAAGAACATTGGTTGCAATTGACAAACAATACTATTCTTCACCGTGCAAATTCCACAAATGCTCAACAAGATCATGCTTGAGTCGGGAATGAGTAGTACGATCTCGAATTTGGTGATGAGTTTGAATAAACTCTGTAAACTCATTCGTATGTTCATGTGAAGGTGTAACATTTGGAGTAACATAATCAAAATCAATGCTACCTGGACCTCTTTCATCCTCAATAATTATGTTATGCATTATAATGCATGCCTTCATTATATTACCTAATGTCTCCTCATCCCAGAATCGTGCTGGCCCACGCACTATATTAAAACGAGTTTGTAGTACCCCAAATGCCCGCTCTACGTCAATTCTCTCAGATTCTTGGGATTGTGCAAAATATTTTGCCTTTAAATCTATTGGAGTTGGTATTGTCTTCACGAAAGTAGCCCATGATGGGTAAATTCCATCTGCTAGATAATAGCCCATGCGATAATCGTTTCCATTAACTGTAAAATTAACTGGGGGAGCGCGACCGTTTGCTAATGCCGAGAAGATTGGAGATCTTTCAAGAACATTAATATCGTTAAGTGAGCCGGGCATTCCAAAAAAGGCATGCCATATTCAAAGATTGTGTGATGCAACCGCCTCTAGTATTATGGTTGGTGTACGAAAATGACCCGAGTACATACCTTGCCATGCGGTTGGACAATTTTCCATTCCCAATGCATACAATCGATACTTCCAATCATTCCTGGAAATCCATGTTGCTCGTTGAATTGGAGCAGCCGGGACAGATCGACCGCATTTGGTGCTCTTAAATATTTTTTTTTTTCTTAAAAAATATTATTTTCATTAATATTACTGCATTGGCTGCTAAATTATTGTCTCCAACAGTAATTTAACTGTCTTAGATAATAATATTAATAATATTACTGTTCGGGAAAATAATATTCATAATATTACTCTCCCAAACAGTAATATTACTGTCTGAGACAGTAATTTAGTAGTCAAGATAGTAATATTAATTAAAATATTTTTTTTAAGAAAAAAAATCAAAAAAAAAAGGTCAACGCCAGAGACCGGCGGTCAACGGTGGTTGACCGGCCGGAAAAAAAATTTCAAGAAAAAAAAAGTTTTCAAAAAAAAAGTCAACGCCGTAATCTGGCCGGAAAAAAAAACATTTCAGAAAAAAAATTATTTTCAGAAAAAAAAAATTTGGGGGTTAATGTGATAAATTTGTTTAAATCTGGGGTCAATGTGTAATATTAAGAAAGTTAGAGCATAATGGGTGGAATTGATAAGAATTATATTATGGAGGGTATTTTAGACTAAAGACATGTGATGAGTTTAATTGAGAAACTGTTTTTTTTTTGACCAAAATACATTTAAGTCCCATGTGATGGGCATTTTTGCCATTCGCCCTAATTATATATATAAATTAATAACAAATTTAAATGAATACCAAAAGTCAGTAAAGGGTGCGCGTCCGCACACTTTTAAGTATTTTCAACTCTTTGTAAAGCAATAACTTAAACCAATAAGGGGGTGTTTGCAAATACTTATGTAAAATCAGAAGTTGGTGATTATGAGTTACTCTAAAAAATCACTTATTTGCAGAAGTTGTGGGTGTTTGCAAAACACCTATAAAATCAACTTTAAGCAGTTAATTTAAAAGTTGCAGTGTTTGCAAACAAACTTAAAATTTCAACTTATTATTTATAAAATGTCCTAAATACCCCGATAAATACACAAATAAATATATAAATTAATGCATTTATAATCAATTTTCTGTTATTTTTTTCAACGGAAATATATATATATATATATATATATATCATGAATTCTGCTAAGTTCTTATTTTAGATTTTCTATACGACTATGGATTACTACCAAATAGTTTATAATTGTTGGGGAATACTTTAATTTATATATTCAAATACAATAGCCTGAAATCTGAACAATAAGAAAAAAAAAACATAACTACACCAAACCACTAATGAATATGTAATCCAATTCTAGAAAATGCAATAGAAGTACAAATATCGTCTCTAACTTTGTCCATTCCACCATCACGGACGCCCAAATCTGGTCCATGAAAATTGGCATTAGATCAAGGAATGCTTCTGTCCTTTGGCAAATAGTTTGGGTCATTGTCATATTATAAGAAATCCTCATCTAGTGCGTCGACTTTACGAATAAAATTATGGATTGCCATTGTAGCAGGGACAAGCGCAACTTGGTCTTTCCAAGGAATATTGACGGGCACATCTTTTATTGTATAAAATCTTCCTTTCCAGCACCCAAATGTTCGTTCGATTGTACTTCTTAATGACGAGTGCAAATGATTGAACACTTCATACTGATTAGTATATGCAATAGCTCGTTGAAAATCTGGAAGATGATACTTCTCACCTTTATATGGTGCAAGAAATCCTGATATATTTGGATAACCGGCATCAACCAAATAGTACTTACCTATCACAAATATTAGAAGACTCATATATAATGAATGCACTACACAGATAAGCTAAAATATATAAAACAAATATGAGCTTGAAAATAATCAAACCAGGAGGTGGCATTGGAATTTTTTTTTCCGGATTTCTGATAGTGTCATAAAATATTCGCGTGTCGTGCGCACTTCCCTCCCAACCTGGCAATACGTACGTGAAACACATATCAAAGTCACATACGACCATAATATTCTGAGTGGGAGTTCCTTTTCTTCCAATAAAAGGAGTTTGTTGCTCCTTCTGAAGCGCCGCCTTAAT